CGCTTTGATACTGTGGATTCCCGCTAGAAATATACGGACCGATACCGGTCCGAATATGTTCAGTAGTATACTTTGGACCACCTAAATATGTTTGGACCGATATTGGTTCGGATATTTATTTATTCGGACCGACACTATTTGGTCCGTATATGTTCGGTCCGTATACGTCATTTTTCTAGTAGTGCGTCGTGTTGTCTTGTTTTTTATTTGTTTTTCCCCATCCTCACATTTCCCTTTGTCCAATAAAAAAAATCAAAGAAAGAAAAGAAAAAAAGGGACAAAGAATTAGGCTACAGTTTAGGTCTCATTAGAAGTTTCCAAAGCCTAACGTGACATGGCGGTAACCAATTGAAGGTTCGGCAGTGTCTGCCGTGCTCTCCGTGTACTTGTTAATTTCCACTAATTGGAGGCTTCCCAATGGAAGCACTGTCAAAGAATTCATGGTGGCTTTCGTAGTGTATTTCCTAGGAGGCAATCTTTGAGCATAAAAGTGAAAATGATGGAAAAAGAAGTTGAAAACTAAGACTGACTTAATTAAGCTAACAGTATTGTGTGAATATTTTGTCAAGAAATTTCTGTTGTTATGCCCCACTTTTTGCTTCTAGTAGTATTGAGCAAGGACTTTTTTGCCTAGGGATGCTGTTAGAATTTGGACCTAGGGTATGGAATGAGACATGAATAAAGGAATTAATTGAATTGTGTTCGGGTTTGTGCAAGTTGCAACCATGAGAAAAGTACCAACATTTGTATCTTAAAGCATCAATGCTATTTACTTGTTCCCTACTAAATTCAAGGATTTAAGTTTGAATGAAACGAATTAGCTCACAAAGAAATGATTTTTATAAATTTCTTAATCCTAACTTGAGTAATCTTTACAAATTTGTTCATGAACCATTGTTGCCAAGTTTAGAAGCTTAATTGACTGTAGGATCAAAATTGTGTCATTTTGGAGTCAAGGGACAAAAAAGTGCAAAGAAAAGTTGATGGATGAAAATAGTGTAAAATCTTAAAGTTAAAGGACCAAAATTGATATTTAACCAATAAACATATGTTGAATAGAAGAACACTAATAAACCGAAAAAAAGAGAACAAAAAAGGGCATTAATAAATAACTAATTTAAAAAAAGATGATATTGAACAACTTTATATTCAATTAATTTTTATCTTTTATTATATTTTATTTTATCTTTATTTTCTTCATTTTTCTCATAATTACTAAAATTAATCTTTGAAAAAACAAGGGTTAAAAAATAATTAAAATGTATAAAATAAACAAGGATGAAAATAATAAAATATAACTTAAAGGACCAAAATTTTTAGTTTTTAAAAGTTCAGGGAAGGCCGGTGTTCCCTCAGCCTCTTTTTCTCCGTCAGTGATTATACACCAAGGCTCTATTATACCCTCTCCATTATTTTCTTTTTATGTCGGATGTACAATGAAAGACAATTCTTTCTCATTCTATTTGTATATCATACTATTCGAATTCAGAATTTTTTATTTTCAGTGGAAGGAGATTACTATTAAATTATTTAGATTTTTGGCTATA